GCAGTAGGCAGTAAGGGTTACTGGCAGTGACTGTAGTTTTGAGGGTTGAGGGAACCTGCTGTTTATGATTTTACTACCCGGTGTATTCCAGTAAGCATGCTTCCAAAATCAACAGCCATGCTGTACACAAATACAAAGCCCGGATTCTCCTCTTTCCAACAGTAATCCAGATGCTTAATCCTGGTAAGCAAACTGGTAGCTTTTCAGACATTTTGTTTGTCAAAACTGAAAGTGTTTCAGTGCACGACGCAGGTAAAATGTGCCCTATTATTTTAGGCTGTGTTGTTTCAGGTTAGCAATGATCTAATTACTTTGGGTGGTACCTATTACTTAAGCTTACAACAGGACGCTTTTGTTGGAGCTCTAGAGTTCATCAATTTATAGGAGCCCTGGGTGGTTGGCAACACACTGTTCGAGTTATGGTTGTATTTTTTTTGTTTAACAGGCCTGCTGGAACCCTGGTGTTTATGATTTTATCACCCCCGTGTATTCACAGTAAGCCATGCTTCAAATCTCAACATGCTGTACACCAAAATGAAAGCCCAGATTCTCTTTCCTTTCGCAACAAGTATCGTAATCAAGATCTTAATCCCTGTACAACTGGGTAGCTTTTAATACAGACATTTATTTGGTCCACAGCTGAAAGTGTGTCAGTGCTACGAACGCAGGTCAGATATATATCTTATTATTGAGGCTGTGTTGTTCAGGTTAGCATGATCTGATTTACTTGGGTGGTACTTATTCTAAAGCTTACAACGCGGAACCCTAACCTGGACGCATGGTGCTTCTGGAAGAGAATGGCGCTTAAATGAAAGAATTTCTTTTATCAGGACGCCCGAGAAGCCATTTTGCACAGCACCTTTGTTGCCTAGAAATTGGGCATGGGAGAACAAGCAAAAGTCCAGGCTTTTCATAGTTTTTGTCCATTAGCAGCTAAACTAAAGTGAGGAGAGCCACACAAAGCAGTCTAATCATCAAAATTGCCGTAATGACGGCTTCCTGAGGTGGAAACTGGAAGATACCGTGCTTCTGGAAGAAAATGGCAGCTTAAATGAAAGAATTTCTTTTATCAGCCCGAGAAGCCCATTTTTCACAGCTTAGGTGGAAAACACCAAGTCCGCACTTTGTTGCCATGTTGGCATGTTGAAACAGAAAAAAGTCAGAATTCGCATCCCTAAACAGAAAAGTCACTTTTCATACTTATTGTCGCATTAATATAATAATGAGATATATATATAGATATATAGATATATAGATATATATAATGAAATATTTGCAGAAATGTGCGGGGTGTACTAACTTTTGTGAGATACTGTATGTATGTTTGTATCTATATATATATATATGTATATGTCCTTAGGTTTTCAGTGAGCCCATACTGCGCAATGCAACAGATCTGTCAAACTAGGAAGTGCTGGGTTAGACGTGGTAGACCACCAGCCACCTTGCTCAACAATCTATGTTCCCCGACGCTCCCAGCCATCATCCACCAACAACTCTTCGGGATTCTCTGGAAGGGCGCATAATACTTTGCGGTGCACCTGACTTTCTCAAAAATATTTGATTCATTGTCCTAAGCCGGATCTCAACAAACAACTACAAACTCTCATACATTCAAGATACTGAACCCCAAATTGCTCCCGATGCTGTGCATCAGTGTGTTGTATGAATGCGTTAGTTTCTGTTCGATGGAGATCGCTGAGTGAATGTGTGTGAGAAAGGGTGAATGTGGCACGTGCGTGTGAAAAGCGGTCGTTGAGGGTCTGGAGGACCTAGAAAGGCGCTATACAAGTACACGTCGACTTACCATTTACTCTGATTTCTGCTTTCAATGACCTCGGAGTTCCTCTCTCACCAGAGAAAACAGGAGGTCTCTGCACGTCCCTGGAATTTCTTGGCATTATCACTCCAAGCCCACGAGAAAGTACACAGGATTTCCTTACTCATTTAAAATTTCCTCCTGACTCACAGATGCACTAAATAACAACTTCTCTTGCCGCTCAGCCACCTAAACTACACCATCTGCACCTCCTTTCCATAACCTCCTCCCTCCCATCTCTCCACGACCATGTCACACCAGACGATGCATGTAAATGTAGTTAAAATTATGGCACTAGTTCCTCTCATCATGGAACGGCATTTCATTCTTTTACGACTATCGAAACACTAAGGCAGAAGACGTCCAGCTATTCACAGACGCAGCACCTTCTGCCGGCTTTGGCAGCTACTTCGGCGACAGGTAGTTTTCAGCCAAATGGCCGCCTAAATTTTCATCTCTCTTCTTCAAATTACCCTGTAAGATTAATATAATATAAAGTATATCTTCTTTTTCTTCTTTTTCTTAAACATAGCAGCTATTCTTTGGAGTCACAAATGGTCCAACAAAAAAACATCACCACCACCATCCGATATCATAAACAAGGGACACTTCCTAGACATAATGCAGTATATACGGAAGCTCACACTAGTATCAGCCCAGCATCAATTCATTCCTGAGCCTCTCACATCCCAGGTCACAAAAAAAACACAATCGCTGACGCACTTGCTTCTCGTCGAGCACCAGCCTCCAACGCTGTTCTGACTCCAGTCATGCCGTTTTCATCCACCATCTTCAACTGACTCCCCAGATGACAATCTGGTTGCTGTTTACCTTTGATCAATGTCTTTACACTCTCTAGCTTTATCCCGTTCACCTGCTCAAGATTAACATACTCACACAAAATCGTTTTCGTCACTTCCGCCAAATCATGTCCAATCATGAATGTCCCCAGATAGGAATGTCAACCTTTATCCCGTCATTTTTTTCTATTATCTTTTGGTAATTATAATTTGATAACCATTAATTGATTAAACTAATACAGTTTGGACCCCTGTAACACCCTACGACGTGGAGCCCGATAGCAGGTAAACAAATCGAGTCCACTCTACCTGTGTGAATCATTGTTCCCCATGTATTGGACTCCCATAAGTGGTGTTTCATATTAAAAAAGCATTAAGCCTTATGTCTTTTTTTTATTCACATCAGGTGTGGCGAGGGGCATTGCTCTTGGCTGATTTCATCCTCTCTAAACCAGCCACATTCAGAGGAGCTACAGTCCTAGAGCTGGGTGCAGGAACAGGCTTAACCAGCATCATCATGGCAACCATAGCCAAAACAGTGTACTGCACAGGTATAATCCCGATTTCTTTGAATATCTTATTCTGAATTAACAACAGAATTCTGTGAATACAGCAGAATCAGCATATAAGGGCATAGTGGAAGCTAAGCTGTCACCAAGTGACTGTTGATGTAGATTGTGAGATGCTGTTGAAAGCTCAGAAAAAGCTAGGAAATTGATGATTGATGATGAATTGATTGTGCTGAGATTATTTTGTTACACATATTGATCCCAAGGTCTAGAATGACCTTCCATGCTTATCAAAGAATTCACAGAAATCTCAGTTGTAAAATTATCCCTTCTCTCTGGGGTTGCTCATATAGTAGCATTCCAACAGTTCCGTGTTTGGTGTTTTTCCATGGCTGGAAAAGGCTGGACTCATGAGAGCAGCACAGAGGCATCTGATTCATTGAGCATAGCACAAGAACAGGCCTAAGGTAACTAAAGATGACCATAGATGGTCCAAGATTCTACAAGGTAGTATGATCTGAGCCCAAGGTGGCATGACTATGCAAAGATGCCCCTGAGACTAGTCAGCACATCATATAGCAGGGTGTCAGATTGCTAGCCGTTCAGTGTACATGGGAGACACAACCAAGTGGCCTGGAATAGTTGTTACAGGAAACATCTGTACGCCAGTATGTAATAGAGAGTACCCAAATCCCAATTGGCCGCACAACAGGAGGTGGGCTGGAGAACAACATGGGGCCAAGTGTGGTGGGACGGCAAGCCGGCCAGACGACAAACAGG